TTCGGGGACACAACAATATCTGATATGGTAATCGACAAATAATTTTATTGGTTATAATACGAAAATACGAATTACAGGGACAAGAACAAACGATTTCAATGGTAAAGTAAGGAACTTTCTAGAGACTACAACTTCTACTAAACACTTCGAAGTTTTCGAACTCCAAGAGTTGTCTTTATTTCGATGGAAAGTTTACACTATATATTTTGTTTTTACATATGTAACATAATACCAATAATTCTAATGATACTAACTATAATGACTATTCTAATTATTACACTATACTGGGAGAATATAGATAATTATAGCAATTATTGTAATAATATCTATTTGAGAATTCTGACGATTATGCTAATACCAAGAATTCTGTGAATTTTTAGGATTTTCAGAATTTTCAGGATTTCCAGAATTTGTACTGTCAAACCTGTAGCACTTCCAGAATAATTTACCATTTATAGCATACATTGTAACAATAAAAAATAGGTTTGAAGGTATTTATATGGGCATAAAGAAAAATATAGTGTAATATCTAACACCAATATAAATTTCTTTACATTCTAAATAGCAGGCCTCGACCAAGGTGTGGATTGACTTGATCTGAGGATAGGGTATTTGTGTCTAATGCGGCACTTATCCCTATAAGAAAAGTGTACCAGATAGGCACGGGTTGGCAGCGTATAGGCACGAGCTTTTGTGGCATGTGTCGAGACCGTATTTGCACGTGCATGGTTCGGGTTAGTATGTATCTGGTGGACCGTTTGGAACCGTGAACCGTGCCAATTAGACCGTAAATAGAACGGGTTTTGCAGCAGTTTACTAGTCAAATCGGCATGGGATTTGGCACAGGTATTAACATGTAAATTTACGAGCCTTTTACGTAAATTTACGATCCTATCCCAATGACTAGTATATACCAGATAGGCACTGGTGGGCATATAAAGGCACAAACTCTGGATCAAATGCATTGTTCGAGTTGGCACGGATTTTGTGTACGTATTGGACCGTAAATAGCTCGAGCATTACATGTAAATTATGAATCTATTATATTCACATTTTTATAGAGTTTTATAAATATTTTTTTTTTCCTTATTTATTATAAAATAATACATAACAAAATAAAATAAAAAATAAATCTGAGTTGTAGCTTAGAGGGAAATAATGATCTAGAGATAAGGCACATTGATAAATAAACATTTGGATTGATCTCATATTTGTTATTCGTAACAAATATAATAATGAAAATTAATAATAATAAGAAAACATTGAGTGGTGCTCATTTCACCGACAATCATCTTACCGACAGCCCATTTCACCAACAGTCAATTCACCGACAAGTTTATTCCATCGACAGTTATTTCACCAACAATCATTTTAGCAACAAAGTAATTCTGATCATTTTCATTAGGGTTAGATCAGAATTAGAGTTAAGGTTAGTAAAAAAACTTGTTGGTCAAATGGGCTGTCGTTGAAATAGTTGTCTGTGAAATAAACTTGTCAGTGAAATGATTGTTGGTGAAATGAATTGTTGACAAATTAATTTTCAGTGAAATGACACAGATCCAAAAACATCAAAGCTGATTAAATAGAAGAAAGCATTCGTAGAAAATTGAGAAATCGCCTGAGATAGAAGGAACATAAGAAAGTATCAATTAAGTGAAATGCAGTAATTTAATAAGGGGGCTCGAAATTGTGATATCACTAGGATAGGGACGTATGGACTCGTAACAGATAATAAAAGAAACTTGCATAATGGCACTCTATTAAAAAAATGATTAAAAAAAACACATGTTATGCAGGAAAAAAAACCCAAATATCGATCAAAAACCAAAGAATATGTTGAGAATTTCTATTTAAAAATAAGATCAGTTAGAAAAATAAAGTAAAAATAAGAAAGAGGTAATCATCAAAGAAAAAAAATACGCAAAACATTATTCTTGCTACTTGACTCATTTCTTTACAGGCATTAATTGGGATATTACCATAATAATAAATATTGTATAGCGGTACTCTGCTCAAAAAAATGTTTTTTTGTTTAAAAAAAGTTAATAGAACCCAAAAAAAACTTCAACAAACATCAAAGAAAAAAAAATACTAAAGCAGATAATACACCAAATAAAAACTCAAATATCAATCAAAAGTCAAAGAAAATCAGGAATTTCTACTTAAAAATAAGATCAGTTAGATAAAAATGAGAAAGAGATGTAAAAGAGTGATCAAAAAAAAAAATAAAACCAGTTATGCAAAACATTATTCTTGACCATAGAATGTTTCGTATTATATAAATTTGAAAATATAGTACCGTAAAGCTAATCAGATATTTATAATGGCTAAAGATATACTCAAGCTCAAAATGTACTCAAGCTTAAGGTATTTATTTTACTTCATTCTACAAATCAAAATTATTTTACCTTATAAATTTTTAGCTCTTAAAATCGTCCAGATACTCATGGGAGGATTTATCGTTTAGAACTTTACGTTACTACTGCTCAATCTAAATTGAGTTCATAAAAAAAAATAAGAGATAAACAATAAATAAGTTATTTAATAGAGAGAATCTGATTGGTTGATACTGTTTTATATAAATATGTTCAATAAAGCATTAATTAGTGAAATTAAATAAAGCGTTAAATAGTAAATTAAATAAAGCATTAACGTTAATAAATACTTATTAATAAACACTTGTTTATTACTACTTATTTTTTTTTAAATTATTTACTTTATTAATCGATAGAATACCATTACTCTAAATTATTTTATTCGATAAGTTCATGTACACTTATAGTTGCCAGAGAATTAATTTTCGAAAAAAATCCAATTATAACACTAGACCAAGATTTTGCTATATTGCTGTATTGCCATAATGCCGTATAAACTTATATGGGCAAAAAATCTTCAATTTTACATTTTTTTTTATAACTATTGACTTGAATCATGTGTTGAATATCATTAAAGGAAACCAAATTTCAATTACTATAAACTCTGATATGCAAGGTCAAATAAATTATAAACTTCAAAGCCCGAAGTCTGATTTTTCTTGACAGAATTCACAAATTTAAGAGGGTTATGTTACGAAAATTATTTACATTTTATATTATTTTTTTTACTTAAAGCTTCTGTAACTTAGATTTTATGCGATTTTTTTATAATAAATAAATTAACTGCATTAGAATATTGATTCTTAATTCTATGCATTCTATTGTAAATTTAGGATTTACTTAGGTTAAAATTGAATTTAAAAATAGGGCAAGTTATGTAGATTCTTAATCTACTATATTTCCATTCGAATGTTTGACAGATATAAGTATACTAATTATTTTTAGTAAAGTTTTATAATGTTAAAATTTTTTCAATTCTAAAAAATTTTGTTAAATATAGAATTAATTAATAAATTAATTTATATCAATTGAAATGCGCATTTCTTTAATATATGTTTAATAACTACTAAACTATATGATTTATTATAAATGATACGTATAATATTCACATATACTAATTTAGCTTTGCTGAACCTTATTGCTAATTCTACTTTTAGCTTTTGAAATTTTTTTTGTTTTATTTTTACCAGATGGTAATAATGAATTTTCTTTACAAACCCATTTTGGTATAGGATTTTTCAAAATTTGCTCAGAATTAGGATCACATTTTTGTCGTATTCGGTTACTTATTTTATCAACATTTTTAATAGGCAAACTTGATTTTAATATATTAATATCTATAAATAAATAAAATTAGAAATTAAATTGTTAAATTAAAAGTTATTATATTAATTTTAAAAGTAAGTTATAGTACTGTACCTTCATAATTTTGAGATATAGTCTTTTCAGTATTTTCAGTTATTTCCTCATCACTGCTAGAAGCAGATACAATATAATTGGTAAGAGAGTTTTTATAACTCTTAGAGGCGAAAGGTATATAATTATCCGATGCAAAAATCATATTATTGCTAGTGTTTGAGGTTATACAACTATTAAAAGTAGATGCTAAATCGTTGTTATCTAATTAATAACAAATTTAATTATTAATTAATATCAAATATACGTATTATATTGAGTTAAAAATTTAATAAATTAGAATTCTAGTAATAATGTTATTAAAAATTTTTCTTAAAAAAATCATTAGTAATACTTACGTTTATTAATAGTTATAGTATTAGAATAATCTTCATCAGATTCCAAATCAAATGAATATATATTTTCTTTATTAGAACTACTATATTCTTTAGCCATTTCATTAATATTTTGATGAAATGTTTCTAATTCATCAGCACTACTTTCAACTTGTATACGGGTATTAGATTCAACAGCTTTTAAATTGGCTTTCTTAGTTCTTCGTCTAAAATTATCAGCTATTAAAATAAAAATTTTTAGTGATTATTTATTTTAATATTTTTAATTATATATTTATATAATTTATTTAGAATTTTACAAGTGTCAAGCATAGTACAATCAAGCATAATATAATTAAAACATAGTGCCTAGCACAAGCACAGACACTATGTTTTAATAGTACTATATCCAGCACTTGCAAAACTTTAAATTTATTTAAATTTACCTCTATCTACTAATTTTTGTTTTAAACATTCTTCAACGATCCATTTATTCGAACCAATTTTATGTTTATGTTTATTATAAACCTAAAAAATATATTTGGTTTATTTAGAATAAATTTTTAAATTAAATTAATACAAGTCAATCTTGTTATAGTAAACTTTCGATTTCAATATAGTGAAGTTATTCTCAAAACCAATCTATATAAAATTTTTTTGATTTAGTAAATCTACTAATAAAGATCTTAATATAGTAAATTTTTAGAAAATATTTATTAATAGAATAGAACACTTCACTATAATGAGATTTACTTATATAAAAAGTTATTTAAATGTCTAAAATATAATTATTATATACTTATATCTGAAACCCAACTTTCTCTAACTGTATATCCTAAATGTGACCAGGTAGTTGATTCCGCAATTCTATTTTCTTCAAGATGTGGTGCAAAGTCAGCTTTTATTTTTATAAAATAGTCTTTTGGTAACCAAGAACAAAGTTTTGAAAGTTGTAATTTTGATGCTTTAGCTTTATCTCTTTTAGGTGGTTGTATATTAGGTATTTCAATAATTGTTTGTTCATTTTTTTTATCTTCTAGTAATTTAATAAGCAATTTTTTTTTGCTTATTATAGCATGATTTTAAAATTTCTAATTGTTAATTTAGTGAAAATGCATCAAACGTTTCTTTAGTTGGAAGTTCACAATCTAATATTTTTCTAGACAAATATGAATAAGAAATAGAAGTAGCAGTAGACATTTTTATATTTTTTTTTAAAAAAATAAAAATTTACGTGAAAAAAAAATGGTTTATATATGCTGATCATTTAAAAATTTAATTATTCGGTTATTAATATTTGCATTTAAATAATTATTGTAAACTGTGTTTAAATTGCCATACGTATAATAAGTTATATTACTTACTATAGTTATAACAAGTCATAGAATTTAAACTCAATTTATGATAATCAGTTCTCACAGCATTTGAACTACAGCAGAGACTGTTAATATTACATATATATTACAACTGGTGAGTGATTATATTCATCACAATTGAATTCAATATAAATAATTTAATTTGTGATTGATCACAGGTAAGAGGAATTCGCTTTGGATTGGGCACTGTCTTTGCTGTACAATTGAACAGAAGAAAATGTACCTGATCCAAAGTAAATCCCACACATGGTGTGATTAATTAAAACTAATATAAATAATTTTAGTTTAAATTAATAACACTATGTGTGTCAGATCAAATATGTTTCCTTCTGTTCAGATTTTTAATTCGTCTTTAGCCAATAAGTAAAGTTACAGATAAGTTATTTTTCAATGTTGATTTTAACCAGTTCTTGTATTAGTTAAAAATAATAATTTTATATAAAATTTGCATAAAAACACTTGGAAATTGTTGCGAAAATTTAAGAATTATTAAATTACAATTCTACAAAATGTAGAATCGTAAAATTATTAAAATTATTAATGATTAATTCTAACAATTTTATACTTGTAGAATTGTAGAAATTACATCATTTCTATAACTTTATAATTTATAGAATTACGTAGCATAAAATTTTTAATATTATCTGTTATAACTTTCTCATTTATCTACTAAATTAACTATTTTTTATAACTAACCTTTCTTAGAATATATACTTATAGTGACTTCTTTTTCTGTAAGTTCCATCACCATGACTCAGCAAAAGCTTATTCTTTTTTATAATTATATTTTTTCTTTTACAGATTATTTGTATATTGTTAGAGAAAAATTGCATGTGGTACATAACGAGATCAGGTTTTTGGCACTTATGTGCAACAAAAGAGTTGTTATTATTATTTATGTAAATGGTATATTACATTTTTGCAAATTGTTACGCAATGTTCTTCATCTTTTTTTTAATAGTTTCCCATGATATTCAGGAGTACTGTATGTAGTAACTATAAAAAATATTATTATATAATACTTTTTTATATATTACTATAAAATTTATGTATAGGCAGTATCGTTACTTTTAATATATTATATTTTATAAAATAAATTAAAAAGCTTATTAATAATATTAAATCTAATTACTGTTATTTTAAACTATACTTTTAAGATTATATATACTATAATATTAAAGTTTAAAAATAAATTTATTATATTTTAATTAAATATTTTTTCTTATCAATTTACAAATTTATAAAAAATATTTAAATTATATAGTTTTTAATTTATAACTTTTTTTTATTACATACAAACTATATTTTGTCTATTAAGTAAAAATGTTTATTATATTATTTTATATATAAAATAAAATTTTTTTAAAATTTAAAAAATTTTTATCAGAATAATTTATAAATAAGTAATTGTAAATATAAAAAATATAAAAGTTTTTTATATAAAATATACTTATATAGATAGTTTATAAAATTAATAATTAATATATTTTTAAATAATATAAATATAAAATATATATTAAGAGGTTTATTTTATATATATAAATATAAATAAAATTTTTAAATTCTAAAAAAAAATTAAATTACTAACTTTTTTATATATAAACATTATTTTAATTATTATTTTTTTTTTCTTAAGCAGTTATGCTAATATTTTATTAAGATTTTTGAAATTATATTTGCAATTATATAGATGTACCTAATACCTAAGTCTAGCATCACCTGACCACCCAAATGGTACCTAAGTGCAACCTGTCACACTACTTCAAGAAGAAGTAAGCTGCTTGTATAACTACTCAAAGTCTATAATAGAAGGGTCTTCTCTTTTCTATAACAAGTTCTAACATTGTCTTTCTAGTTTCTTTCTTAATTCATTCTTTTTTTTCTTTTATTTACTTCTTTTTTTTTTCTAATTCTTGTTGTTTTATTTTTTTCTTTTTGTCTGAATTTATTTTTTTTCTTCCATCTCTTTTCATTTTATTTGTTATTCCTTCTTTTTTTTCTCAACTATTAATTTTTTATATCATATTTTTCAGACTTGTTCATAGAATGTATTCCATGCTGTTTTTGCTATTATGCTTACAAACTGTTGTCTTGCTTTCATGCTTAAGAGTTGTACTAACCTGTCTTGTGTTTTTATTAGAATTAGGTCTTTAATTAATATTTTATGTATCAAAACTTTTTTTATTTCTGTTTTTCTGAAGAATGTTATATATAATACATATAGAAGAATTCTGATCTTTTCTTTTTTCTTTAATTCTTTTCATGCTATTACAATAGTCACTTTCTAAATTCTTTTCTAAAGACTTGTTTTCCTTTGCACAATGCCAGATATGCTTGTATTTCTTTAATTTTGTCTTAACATACTTAGTATTCTGTTGTTGTATATATATCTGGCCTTCTTCTATTTAGTTCTTCTAAGGTTAGAAGTTTTCTTATCATACATTAAATAAATGCAGTTCTTTTTGTACTACTTCTTCTAGTTGTGTAATATACATCTTTTATTGTCTTCAGCCTTTTTCAAAATTGTGTTTAGTCATAAATTGTAACTTTTGTTTCTAGCTCTAAACTTCTAATTGCTTTTGTTTCTCTTTATTCTGCTTCTAATTTCATATTTGTTACTAATTTGCATAACAATCTTGCTAGTATGTCAGTACATTTGTTTTCTCACTTTAGGTAGTATTCTATCTCTTTACAACTAACTTTCTTAGCTTGAATTATCTTTATACTTGCTGCTTCTTTTTTCACAAAACTATCAGCTTTATTATTCTATCTATCTTTGCTATAACTTTATTTTTTTTTTTTTTTTTTTTTTTTTTTTTTTTTACCTTCGCAATATCGCGAGAAGGCGGATTTTTA